CAACCCATAGCAACCCTGTTTCCGAAGAGCAGTTGGTGAACTTGAACTGCTGACCTTGCGGTTCAAACCAACTTTGCAGTCATAGCGCCACACCAGGACTCCAAAGTAGCATCATTAAAATACTGTAGGACTGAATACACATGAAGGAAAAATGGATTGAATTGAAAAACAGAAAATTCAACAATTGGAGTTAGGATTTCAACATTCTTTCTTTCAATAACTAATAGAAAACCTATACAGTAAACAGGACTCCTGGTGTAGTGCTGTAGGGTCAGCAGTGGACTGTGAACCACAAGATCAGCAGTTCAAACCCAGCAGCTGCTTCTTGGAAACCCTATACAGGGTCGCTATGAGTCAGAACTGACTTGATGGCACTTAACAACAACAAGATTATAGGGGGAGAAATTGAATCCATAGCAGGAATTGATGATCAGAAATAAAACGAAGGTTTTTAAGATCCACTGAAAATGAAAGAAAGGGACTGACTGCTAACTGTGAAGTTGGCAGTTCAAACCCAGAACTTGCTCCGTGGGAGAAAGAGATGGCTGTCTGCTTCAGTGAAGCTGAGTCCCAGTGAGTCAGGCTCGACTCGCAGACAGTGGGCTTTGGTTTGCAGTGTTATTATGTGGAAGCGTTTTTCATGGTCCTCCTGTCCGTGCTCATGGCTGTCTCCTTGTCCTGATGCAGACTCCCTTACCATGTGCTCCTCCGTGTTGTTCTCATTCATGTGTCTGTCACTAGATAGCCACATAGTCGATTCCGACTACTGGTGATCCTGTGTAAGGTTTCCGAGGAGTGGTAGGTGAGTGTGAACCACTACCCTTGCAATTCACACTGACATTGAGGGATTGAAATTTGAGGATCATTAATATCAGAGCCTAAAGCTCTTTAGGTCTTCCTTGGGGTCTCCACTAAAACGATCCTATAGCGCTGTACCCACGATTCCAAGTACATTTAGGGTTAGCTGTGTATCTGCGCCCTGTATTTTACCTAGCTTAATACTTTACTGATTTTATGTGCTAAAGAAATTTGTTTAATTATAAATAAATAATAAATAAATAAATAATCTTTTGGAAGCTACCCAAACTACTTTTTGTTGTTGATGGTGGTGTTAATTGGGGTTCAAATGGAGAAAAAAAGCCAAAAAGGCTAAACTTGAGCTCTTTGAGCCCAGCTTTACTTGATCAGGTGTTTGTTTGTTTTCTCCAAATGCTAGAGTAAGGAACTAGTCACAAGACCATCCTAACGGTGGCTCTAAATAGTGCAATTACCACTGATAATCAGAGTAATTAAGCAGGCAGACATTCCATTTTCCAAATGACTGTGTTTATTTTTCTTTTTGCTTTCTTACTGCAGAATATTGTAGTCCTTATACAATAGGGTAAATTAGGCTGCTATCTGGAAAAAACAACTCAGCCTTTTCTGTTTGCCTTTGTTGTTACTGTTCCATTTGCTGGCGACCTTATGGGAAACCCTATAATACTGAGTAATTTTGAGTCATAGTCATAGTTTTTTTTAATATTGTAATATTTTCTCATTTTCTCTGTTGTATTTTCAGGAATCAAGGTGATACTCATAAAAACCGAATGTATGATTTACTCTACAGAGAGGCACAGTAAATAGTGTAATTAAAGTCCTGTATAGGATTCTGTTAAATAGAAAGTTTTAGAATAAATGAAGCATTATTTAGCTAGTGTTAATGCACGAAAATATTTTAATTGTAAATTCATGTAATCAGCATGTATCTTAACCATGACGTTGCTAAACATTAATTAGTCTGGGACCCATTTGCCACAGAGCTGAGTCAGCACTGGGTATAGACTGCTGTCACGTGATCTGGCTTGTCCCACAGCAGTGCTCCTGGGATTGAAATTTGAGGGTCATTAATATCCTAGCCTAAATCTGTTTCGGTCTTCCTTGGGGCCTCTTCGAAAACTATATCCTTTTTATTCTTGTGGGTGCTAGGGAAAGGCCTGTTTTATTGTACATGACTGGTCATTGAATCCTAGGGCAACAAGTACTATCTGAAAAGGACTTTTTGGTTTAGTGTGTCCTCATGCTTTGATCAAGACAGCTCTTTGTTATATTGGTATTTGTACCAACACTCAGAGATTCAGTGCTTTGTAGACATCTTGTCACATCACATCAATTTGAAGCTCTGTTTTGTTTGGTTACTTAGTCTTCCTTCGGTCACAGATTGCTGAGACTCATGCTATTAGCTTGGTGTAGCACTGTAAGATTAGCACTGGAATGTGGACCACAGGTCAATGGTTCAAACCCACCGGCTCCTCCTTGGAAGTCCTATACAGGATCACTGTGAGTCAAAAACAATGCAGCGACACTAACAATAACAACAAGAGTTAGTCTTCTGTTGATCACAGATTGCTGAAAATCATGCTGTTAGCTGGTATAATAAATCTGCAGTATAACTGGGTCCCTCAACTGAGTCGTTACTAAAGTAGAGACTCAACTCGATATCCTCTTTGGTTTGGGTGCAGCATTAACAGAGCTAGTACTTGTTAATCCTGCTTCCTCAGCATCGTTAATAATATCCTAGTGGTCTCTTACATAAAATTTAAAACTTGACTTGTCTTTGAACATGTTTTATCCTTACCTAGTACAAGACCTCATTAAAGTGTTCAAGAGCAAAGATGTCTGTTTGAGGAGTGAGGTGTACCTGACCCAAGCCATGGTATTTTCAATTGCCTCATAAATATGTGAAAGTCAGACAATGAATAAGGAAGACCTCAGAACAATTGATGTGCTTGAATTATGGTGTTGGTGAAGAACATTGAAAGAATCCTGGACTGCCAGAATTAAAAACCAATCTGCCTTAGAAGAAGTACAGCCAGAATGTTCCTTAGAAGCAGGATGGCAACACTTTGTGTGCTGTACTTCGGAGGAATTTTCAGGAAGGACCCAAGGACATGATGCTTGGTAAAGTGTAGGGTCAGCTCAAAACACGAAGTCTCTCAAGGAGATGGATTGACAGAATGGCTACACCAATGATCTCAAATGTAACAATTTTGAAGATGCCAAAGGACAAGGCAGTTGTTACGAGTCGGAACAGCCTCAGTGTCACCTAACAGTAATGGTGCGATCTTTACTGTACAGATGAGATCTTTAGATGTATTTAGAGCCATCCATAGACACATTCTTAGGGGCAGTTTGTATGCTCTTAGTGGCCCTAGAATGTCATCATGGTTAACCACACAGATTTTGGAAGCAACTAAATCTGTGTTGAGATCCTGGCCTGTTATTCTGTAATTAGTCTACTTTCTTAATGTTGCTCATTCTATTTCTTCATCCTTAAAAAGGAGATAGTAATTTTTACTTTATAGATTTTATTTGACCATCAAGTAAGATTCTGTTTCTGAAATTTCTGGTATTTACGAAATCCTCAGTCGTGTATTTATTTGTACCAGAGACATAATTGGTTTGAAACTGACTTGGGGCAGCATTATGTTCACAGGATACCTCTTGAAAGTGTTTACTGATGAAGATGCTTACTTTGGTCCTCAGACTTTTATTGAATGCATGCATACACACATATGCGATCAGGAATGAGTGTGTAGATGGCAGTTCGGGTCTCTGAAAAGCTTTTACTTCAGTTATGGGTAGAATTGCTTGCGTCTAGCTATAGAATCAGCACTGTACTGTGAACCACAAACTTGGCAGTTCAAACCTACCAGCTGCTCCTTGGAAACCTTGTGCGGGATCACTGTGAGTTGGATCCGACTCGACGGCACTTAACAACTACGATGTACTTTGATAAGGAAACCTGTTAACATAGTGGATTACAAATTGGATTACTACCTGCAAGGTTAGCCTAGAATCAACTAGCTGCTCCAGGGGAGAAAGATGAGACTTTATGTTCCCATCAAGATGTACAGCCTTGGAAACCCAATAAAGGGTCGCTATGGGTCGGAACCGACTCGACGGCACTTAACAACAACAACAATGTGTTGGAACTGACTCAACAGCACATAACCATCACCTCCACCACCACCTTGTACTTGGGTATCTTGAGAGTTTAAATGTGGTGAGTGATTATAGACACAAGTTGATGTGCCTTAGTCTCAGGTTTTCTTAGTGTTGTGGTCCTTTCTGTTTAGACCTGGCATTTTCTTTAAACTAGTGGAATCATGACCATAGGAATCGTGGCACAGATGAGCCCAGTCCTGGTCCTAGAATGGCTCTACAAGGGATTGCTCTGATGAGCAGGACCCACCACCCAAAAGGTGGATGCTCTTCTGACTTTGCAATTCTCAGGACATGAAGTGGCCTGGAGCTCCCTTGCCAATCAGATTGCCGAGCTTCCAGGACCTGCGGTCCCTCTCGCTGCAGGTTTGCTAAAGTGGGGGTGCACTGTACTGTGTCAGAAGAAGGGGAAGAACACATGCCACCCAGGGGATTCCAGAACCTTCTATCTAGAATTTCCTTATCTAGAATCTGATAACCTACCGGATAACATATTGTGCGTTACGTAAGGTAATGCATCCAAGTGGATCAGCACCTCGCCCTCAGTAAATACCCGTATTGTAGCATTGCTGCTGCTGCTGCTGCTGACAGTTGGAACAATGAGGATGAAATTGTGATTGAATGATAGTATTTTTAAACTTAGCACACTGCCTTTATTATTATTGTTAAGTTGCCATCGAGTTGGTTCGGACTCATAGAGACCCTGTATCGGGTTTCCGAGGAGCAGCTGGTGGATTTGAACTTCCGACCTTGTGGAAACAAGTAAACACTAAGTAAAGTCACTTCTTTTACCCCCCAGGTTCAGATGTCCACCACACCTTGTTCCTCCTCCTAGGAACAAGTAGCACCAACAACAAATCTTTCTTTAACCCTTCCATTAGCAGATTGAATGGTCAAGTTCATTTATTTCCGGATGTCAAGGATGAGGCTTTTAATCTAGAGTGTCATGGTTTTAACAGTTGTTTTTCTTAATTGTACATTCTGATTGTGAGTGTTAAACTGTTCCCTTGATTCCACAGATGCTGTTGACTGAGTACTTGGACATGAAGAATACTCGGACAGCCTCGGAGCCATCAGCTCAGCTAAGTTATGGCAGCACTGGCCGCGAATTTGCAGCCTTTTTTGCCAAGAAGAAACCTCAAAGACCCAAAAATTCTCTTTTCAAGTAAGTACTGGCTTTACTGAGGAACTCTGGTAGCACAGTAGGCTGCAAGCTGGCCTGCTAACTACAAGGTCAGTCTACCTGTGGGGAAAAGGGAGGCTTTCCGCTCCTTAAATGGATCAGATTTACATCGGTGGAAACCCTATACCAGGGACACTGTGAGTTGGCACACAACCCCCTCCAGCAGCAGCTGCACTCATACAGTGGATGGTATGAAGGAACGTTAGCGCTCAGCTAGGAGGACTTTCAATTTGACTGACAGCCGTTGTTTTCTACAGTTAAAGTTGAGTTGAAGTGATTTATAGGAAGCGAACAGTTGATCCTGTGGACTGTTGTTTTCGCCTCTTGCGGACTATGGTCACTGGTCTCTCTCGGACTTTTAATCACATTTCCTGGTTCTGGAAGGCTTCTATGAAATGATGGCAAATGAAACTCCCTAGTTGTTTCTAAAGAGTTGTATATGAAATGCCAAAACTAAAATCCAATCCCCTGCTGGTGAATGGAATCTGGCTCCTAGGACCCTACAGGACAGAGCAGACCTGCCCCCTAGGGTTTCCCATGCTGCCAGCTCTAGAGCAACCAATTGCCTGGCCTTTTCTCCCGTGAAGCTGCTGGTGGGTTTGAACTTCTGACCTTTCAGTTAGCAGCTTAACCACTGTGCCTGGTCTGTGAAACCAAAGAAAATAAAATAGTTGTGTCTTTGAAAAATCCCAAGTGATAGAAAGCAAATCTCCCTCCGTAAGTAGTGTGGGGTTACATGGTTATATGTGGTTATATTTGGTACAGAAACAGTTTTGAAATTCTTTGTTGCTAATTTCTATCTCAGTTAATCCCACCAGGCTGTGTGGGCTATAAGTAGCAGCTAGCAGTTGATCATAATATTAACTTTGATAACGACAATTCCCACTGACTCTGTGCTTTCTACATGCTAGGCACTTTGCTAGGTGAGCTTCTCAAAGAATCTCATGAAGTGTGAATGAATTCACTTCAGACTGAACACCTTTCAGTAGGAACAGTAGTCGAGAACACCGAGTCCTTACTAAGTGCTAATCAAGGTGCTAACCATTTTCATGGAATGTCTTATAGGTGTTTGCTGTAAATTTGATCCTCTTTGACACGAAAACGGAAACATCTGAGACACTAAAGTTTTGAAGTAACTTAAGTAACATCACATTGCTAGCAAGCAGTAGAAGTAGGTTTTCAGATTTGGCCGTGTAACTCCAGATCTGTGTGCTCCTTTGAGGGGTGAATAGATATTTAAGACATAAAATATAAGTCTAAGTGTGTAAAGGAGTCCTGGTGTGGCACGGCAGGATAAGCACTGAATCGCAAGGTCTGTTTGAACCGCAAGGTTGGTGGTTCAAATCACGAGCTGCTCCTTGAAAACCTTATAAAGGGTCACATTATGAGTTGAGCCGCTCCTTGAAAACCCTATAAAGGGTTGCATTATGAGTCAGAACCGACTGGACTTAACAAGAAGCAGCATGTAGGGTGACTACAGACGTATCATCCCAGTCTACTGAATACATTCGTTTTGTTTTTTTTACGTAATTGTGAGACTGGTTTTTATTTCTCACTGACGTGAGTTCTGTTCAGAAAACTTCCCTGAGCAAAGCATATTCCTTCGACCTAAAGTGGAAACTTACGGTCTCTGTTGTGTACTCTCTCCACACCATTTTAATTTTCAGGTGATGTTCTAAGCTATAATATGTACATTCTGTACTTATATTGATAAAGAATTAGCATGCAGTTTACTAAGTAAAATAATACAGTACATACAGTTAGATAATGTATAGTTTTATACATGTCAAAAGTGGCTTAAAAATGACTTTAAATGTAACTGCTGCTTCTTAAAGTTCTCAGTTAATATATAAAGAAAGGACTGAAATTCACCTTTATAAGATTTCTAAAGCAAGAAAATAAGTTATTTTGCCTTGTAGGAAAAATCAGCAATGGTCTTACAAAAAAAAAATACCAACTTGAATAAAATTGTATGGTTTCTAAAGCCTTGCTTATATAGCTAATAATTGTTTCATCATTTAAGCTTTGCATTTGAATATATGGTATCAATGGTTAACAAGTCAAACTGAAAAACACACAAATCTTTCTTGCCTTGAACTATATATAATCTCCCTCAAAAGATGCTCTTTTCTCATTTCCCCATCCTCTTCCTCTTCTTCAACACCTCTGATATAAAGGACATTATTACACCTTATTAAACCTTCACCCAGATGTCCAGACAAGGCCCTGTCTATGTATTCGTCTGTATTTGCAAGCTGCATGTTCAGATAGCCATCTACGGACACCAGGTAGCCTTTATCCTCCATTCCCCACTGGAGTTTCACCATCACTGGCTTTCCTGTTAGTCTGCTCAGGAAAGGTTTGAGATTGAGGGGTAAACTCGACGACTACCAGTGAATGGTGCAGGCTCCTCACCCCCACCCAGCTGTGGTATTTAGCTCCTAACTGAAGCAGCTGCTCTAGGCCCCGAGTTGCGGCACAGTGACAGAAAATGGATGCATTTGTTTTGAATTGTTGAAGTTGCAGTACTTTTTACTGATTCACTTTTGAGATTTCTTTGTATTGTGGATTCTTAGTGTTCTAAGGGGGTCTCAAGAATTCATTGATCTTGTGATCTAACACACAGGAGAGTTCATGTTTGCCCTCCTGACTTACATGTAACCCATTCTGTTTATTGAATGTGTTTCTTTTCCTTTTTTTTTTTAAGAAGTTAGGTCTGTTCAAACGCTTTAGGCTGCAAGTAATACCACATAGCTTAAACCATTACTATTGTTGTGACGTGCCGTTGAGTTGGTTCCAACTCATGTCGACCCTGTATAGCGTTTCCAGGGAACATCTGGTGTGTTTCAACTCCCGACCTTGCAGTGAGCAGTCCAATGCTGATCCTACTGTGGCTCACCAGGAGTCCAGCTTAGACCAGAGGACAGTTGATTATCTCACACATAGTTGTTGTGAAGTGCCCTCAAGTTGGTTCTGACCCATAGCGACTTTTTACAGGGTTTCCGAGGAGCCGCTGGTGAGCTTGAACTGCCCACCTTATAGTTCAAAACAACTTTGCATTCTGATGCATTAATGAAAGGTGCCACATATAGTTGAGGCTCGTAATTCCACGCTGCAGTTTGGTTCAGGACACAGCCCTTTGCTCTCTCTGGTTTCTCATCTTCTACATGTTAGTAGCATTTGTATCAGATCCGGCCCAAGAAAGATGGTGATGTCAAGAAAACAGGGTGGTTCTTCCTGAGCATCTTCTTTAATTAATGAAAAAAACCTGTCTGCCAGTGAGCCAGCTCCCTCAGTTTTTACCATTGGCCTTATGCTTTCTGGCATGGAGAAGGGAACCGTGGAGATTGTCTGGAACAAGTCAATATTCATCTCAGGGGCTGGAGCCACTTTTCCTGAACACATGGCCGAGTGAAGAGGGAGCCCAGCTAACAAAGGAGCGAGGCATGCAAGGAAGAAAGGCAGTAGGAGAAGGAGACAACCGATGGAACAGCAGAAGCCACCTACCTCCTCAGGCCTTGGGTTTTCTAGCTCAATCGACCATCCTAAATCTAGGTTTGCTACCGAGAACAGGCGTAAGGGATTTTAGATTTCATGCTCTCCACCTTCACCCCTAACTTTAAAGCTCAGTCCATACATTTTCTAACATTGGTCTCAGAAAGGTATACATTGTTGGGAATGAACAAAAAAACTTAAATAATTGTTGTTCAAGTTTTATGATGGTAAGTCAAGGAGTGTTGCTAGTAGGGTTCCAATTCATACATGTACAGATTT